TTAAACACTGAAAATGATTTTCCCAGTTCCATCCATTTTCCTGCAAGTGACATAATTTTATTTTTTTATGGCTGAATGAAACTTCCTTGTATGTATATGCCACACTTTCTTTTTCCATTGATCTTCTGATGGACACCTAGACTAGTCCCATAACAGCTGTTGTGAGTTGTGGTGCTATAAGCATGGGAATCCATCTCCAAACTGTTAAGATAGATCCCGAGGCTCATGTAGTAGTTCTTTGGGTTTTCTGAGGAAGCGTCCACACTGATTTCTGTAGTGGTTGTATTAATTTATATTCTCAGCAGTGTTGTGTGTGTACTCCCTTTCTCCCATGTCCTTGTCAGCATTTATTATTTATTATTTGTAGTCCTGATGATTGGCATTCTAACTGGAGTGACGTGGAATCTTAGGAAACTTTTGATTTGCATTTCCGTGATTGTTAAAAATTTGGAACATTTTCTTTATAATTGTTTGCTATTTGTGCTATTTTTTTTAAGAGAGTGAGAGAGAATTTTTAATATTTATTTTTTAGTTTTCGGCGGACACAACATCTTTGTTTATATGTGGTGCTGAGGATGGAACCCGGGCCACATGCATGCCAGGCAAGCACACTACCGCTTGAGCCACATTCCCAGCCCTGTGCTATTTTTTTGAGATGAGAAATATTTATTTTATTGAATGTTTTTTTTGTTTGATTTGTTTTTTTGTTTGTTTTGTTTTTGGTACTAGGGATTGAACTCAGGGTCACTTGGCCACTGAGCTGCATCCCCAGCCCTATTTTGTATTTTATTTAGAGACAGAGTCTCACTGAGTTGCTTAGCACCTTGCTGTTGCTGAGGCTGGCTTTGAACTCAGGAACCTCCTGCCTCAGCCTCCTCAGCCATTGGGATTACAGGCATGCACCACCATGCCCAGCTGAATGGGTTGTTTTGTTTTCTGATTTTAAGTTCATTTTGTATTCTGGATATTAATCAGTAGTAAATGACAAAGATCTTCTCTCATTTAGTAGGCTATCTATTCTGGCTGATGTTTTTTTCCTTTGCCATGCAGAAGGTTTTTAGTTTAATGCCATCTCATTTATTGATTCTTTTTTTCTGTGGTGCTGGGGATTGAACCCAGGGTTTTATATATGCTAGGCAAGCACTTACCAACTGAGATATTTCCCCAACCCTCATTTATTGATTCTTGATTATTTATTGAACTGTAAGATCCTAGTGGGGAAGCAAATCCTGTGCACTATGTTGGACTGTTCCTAGTTTTCTTGTAGCAGCTGTAAAGTTTCTGGTCTTAGGCCTTGACCCATTTGGGATTGACCTTTGTGCAGGTTTAGAGATAGGAATGTAGGCTCAGTCTTTGGCATGCAGACATCCCCATGTTCCCAGCACCAGTTGTTAGAGAGGACTAGAGAGGACTTCTTTTCTCTAATGTTTGTTATTTTGGCCTTTGTCGGTCATCAAATGATCACAGCCATGAGGCTCTTGTCTGTTCTCTCCTCTGTTCCATCGCTTGTTCTTGTGTGTCTGCTTTTATTCCAGCACCACCATGTTTTGTTGCTCTGTCTGTAATCAGAAGTCGGGTATTGTGATTCCTTCAGCTTTACTGTTTTTACTCAGGACTGCTTTACTTGCTGGACTTTTTAGGATTCCATGTGAATTTTAGGATTATTTGTCTACTGTGAAGAATCTCATTGGTATTTGGAGGGGGTTGCCTCGAGTCTCTAGAGTTTTTCCATGAACACTGGGAGTCTTCCCTTCTCCTTGCATCCTGTTCTGCCTCACTCAGTGGTCTGTAATTTTGCTTGTAAAAGTTTTTCACTTCTGTTGTCAGATTTATTCCTGAGCATTTTACTTTTTAAAGTTATTTTGAATGGAATAGCCTTCTTAATTTCTTTTTCAGCAGATTATTGTATAGAAAAGCTCTGGTTAGGATGGGCGCAGTGGCTGGGGAGGCAGAGGCAGAAGGATCGTGAATTCAAAGCCAGCCTCAGCAACTCAGTGAGACCCTGTCTCTAAATGAAGTATAAAAAAGGGCTGGGAATGTGGCTCAGTGGTTGAGTGACCTGGAGTTCAGTCCCCAGTACAAAAAAAAAAAAAACTACTGATTTTGGCATTGATTTTCTTATTCTGTTACTTTGTTGGATTTGTTGATCAGATCTGGGATTCTTTGTTGAAGGTTTCAGAATTTCCTAAGTATAGGAAGGATCATATCCTTTGCAGATATGGGTATTTTGAGTTTTTCCTTTTTAATTTGTGTCTATTTTATTTCTGTCCCTTGCCAAATGCTCCAGCTAAAAATACAAGTATGACATTGAGCAGAATTTATGAGTGTGGACATCCTCATGTTGTTCTTGGTTTTAGAGGAAGTGCTTTCACTCATCATGCTGTTGGCTTTGTGGTTGTCATATGTAGCCACTATGATTTGAGGTAAGTTCCTTCTATCCCTAGTTTATTAAGGATTTTTATCAAGAAGTGGGGTTGAATGTCACTGAAGCCTTTTTCTGCATCAGTTCAGGTGATCTTGTCTTTTTTAGGTTGGTTCTGTACGTGTGGTGTACTACATTTATTTATTTGCATATGCTGAGCTGTCCTGTGTCCTCGGTGTTTTGATGGGAGTTGCCTCGAGTCTCTGCAGTGCTTTTTCATAGATATTGTACAATAAGCCATGCTTTGTTGACATTCCATCTGGATGCTGCATCGTCTTTAAGAGAGTTGACAGAAGGCATATTGATGGGGATAACATGCATTGCCAAAGTACCCAAGTTCTGACAGAAGAGAAAATTACAAGAGATTCATTCTCCAGAGTGCTAGGAAAGTGCCACCCTGTGGGTGCTTACAGAGCACAGGAGATGTGATCATCTCACGCTTTACATAAAACTGGTGGGCACCTTTTATTTCACTTTGTTTGGGGCGCTGATAACCCTGCAGTGATGGTGTGTCCATTTTTGCATGCTCCTTTTAAACGAGTTTCTCCTATTACAGTAAATTCCACCTTATTTGCTTGGTCTAAAGTTTCTGTGACAGATTCTTCCCCATGGTTAATGACTTCCCCAAGTTAATTTCTTTCTTTTTATCATTAAGTATTTTATCAGGATTTTTAAAATAATTTGTATAAACCATCATATTTGATGCAGAAATTCATTTTTTTGTGACTTCAGGCTTGGGACTTGTTTTGGAGAGGGAAAATTCCCACTCTTGTTTGCGGGAGACATTGGCCTTGCTACTGGAGGTTCTGAATCAGACCCTAGTCACCTGTGCTTCCACTGGATTCCACCTTACTGTGCCTCCTGGTGTCACCTCCCCAGGGATGGGGCTGGCTGTGCAGTAAAGCTATGAAAGGGACACATCCGAAAAGAAAGGCCAACAGGCCAGAGTATTAGCAGAGGGTTAGGGTTAACCGGAGGGCTCTGGCCTCAGGAGAGGGCACAGGTCAGAAGGAAGGGGTGGGAAGGAGGTCTCAGCAGGAGTCCTGCGGCAGGGCCTTGCCTAGGGGTTGGTGGCCTCCGGCCTGCTTGTCCATCTGGAGGCTGCCAGGCCTCAAGGCTCTGAGCTGAGACGGGGCCAGCAGGATCCGGCGGTCTCCACCTGGTGGGTCCCAGAGAAACCACGGCTCAAGGGACTGTGATTAGCACGCGGTTCCTGCAGGGCCCTCGCCTGGTGCATTCTGGGTTACAGAGGCGGGAGTTACACACACTCACCTTCCTTAGAGTCAAAGTCACAGCTCGGAGCAGACGATGCAGGAAAGGAAAAGAAAATACACAACCTGAGCTCTTCATCCTTTATTCTTCAGTGTGTTTATGTCAGTAATATAAAAAGCCAACCCCCAGTTGATTTATAATTTTCCCCAATTGAATATATTTTTTATTTCTGTTCACATGAACAATTCTGTCTTAATGTATAAAAAGTTGCCGTTTTGTATGTGTGCTAAAATGTAAATATCATTGATGGGTCTGATTTTGCTGCCTTCTTTAAATGTTTACACTACTCCTCAGTTATAATGACTGTCCTGTTATGAAAATTCTATTTTTTAATATTTATTTTTTAGTTGTAGTTGAACACAATATCTTTATTTTATTTATTTATTTTATATGGTGCTGAGGATCTGACCCAGGGCTTCGCAGATGCTAGGCAAGTGCTGTACCACTGAGCACTCCCCCAGCCCCTGAAAATTTTTTTAATATTCACACTTTATTATGACCTTTTTATGAATTATGTCAGAAAAACTTGGATAAAACCTGGACTCTACCATTTACTGGATGTTTGATAAAATGGCATAAAAGATGAAAACTATTAGGTCTCTCATAGGTTATTATGGGTTTTATACATAAGGTATGAAAACCACTTAGAGTGATATTTATATATTTGCAGTGAACCAAAACAATCCAAAAGGATTGTTGTTGCTCCTTGCTGTTATAATGAAATGCATAAATCTCTTAAAATTGAATATTTTTCCTTTATTATTCTACTTCATTGCTATTCAAGGGCTTTTCTTTGGACCATTGGCATTGGAATCACTAGAGGGCTTGCTCTGTGTTCAGAAATCCATATTACATTCCAAAATGGCTGAATCATTGCCTGCTTTTTTCATAAAATTTCTAATTCATGTTTGTACATGTTAAAATTTGAGAAGCATCCTCTTACTCAATGTAACTCTCATTTGAGAAATATATACAATTGATCTTCTGCAAACATGGTTAAAATGTATATTCTTGTGTTGATGCCTTAATTTTACATTTTATTTTAGAAGCGTTTAGTATATACTTAAAATTTTTTATTTGTTCTTTTTAGTAGTATATACGCTTTTTACTTGTATCATCTTCTCTCTTCAGGGTTAGATAATACATTAGAGCACATCACTGTGTTTAAAAGTATATTACTGAATAATGGAGGTCAGCTGCCTGGGTGGGAACTGGTTCTCGTAACATTTCAACTGGGGTCCAATTAAAGACTGTTGGTGATCACACGGTCATTATGCTACTCATATACGTATTCTCTTTTTTTCAGGAACCGTTGACATTCAGGGATGTTACCATTGATTTGTCTCAAGAGGAATGGGATTGCCTGGACCCTGCTCAGCAGAATCTATATAAAGATGTGATGTTAGAGAACTACCAAAACCTGTTCTTCCTGGGTGAGCAGGGCTTCCCTTCAGAACTCAGCATTCGCTATCAGTGTAAAATCTCCTTCCTTTCAGATTATCTCTTGGAAACTGCTCCAAATGAATGTTTCTGATACGTGCTTTCAGAGAAAACTGGACATCTGTTAGTATAGATAGGAAAATATTAATGATATTTCCCTTTGTGATTGACCTCTCTATCTCAAGGCGATAAACATCCTTCACTTTAGATCAGTGGTAGTTATATTATGCTTAGAAAATAATTTCAATATTTATTAATGTTCATTTTGTGCTTTTAAGTTGGCTTATCCAGAATAATATTTTATGAACTATTAAGAAGATTTACTCTGTAAGTCTAATTGCTATATAACATTTTTTGAAGTCTTGTAGTTCCTGATTACCATTGTGTCTGGTTTTATGTTTCATTATAGTAAATAGGGATTGATTTCTCCTAGTATTACCGTGTTGCTTTCTGTTTCTTTAATTCTCTCAAATTTGCTTTCTATATTTGGGAAGTGTGAGGTGTATTGCCTACATATTCACTGTTTCTGTAGTGTCCTAGAGAGAGGTCCCTTTTATTTGTCTCATATGAAAGTTTTTTTTTTTTTTTACTTAAAATGTATTTTATTTCATATAACTTGGTTTAAAATTGTGTTTTACTTAATATAATTCTTGCCACCTCTGCTTCCTTTAATTCATTTTTCGTTATTCCTTTCCATCCTTTCTCTTTTACTCTCCGTGACCTTAGATTAAATAGTCTAGAAGTCATGTAGGGTAAAATACGTGTAAGTGAAAAAACTTTGATAAAGAGACAAAGTAAAATAAGAGATAAAAGGGTGTCGTGTCCCACGACTAAACACTCAGGGTCACTCCAGGTGAACTGGGCTGCAGGAAATCATCTCACAGAGCAGAGAAATACCTTTTTCTTTGGATGCTGTGACAGCCCCCTCCCTCCCCCTAACTTTGGTGTTAATGGGAAGAGAGAGGAGCACATGCTGAACCCTTTAATTGGGAAGAAGCCATTCAAATGAGGCAAGGGGTAGGGTGACACCTACTCCTGGAGCCATGTGTTGCTATCCGAACTGGGACAATGCCTAAGTCACCATGCCCAAGTCACCATGAAATGTAGTGACTGGTCAGAGCCTTGTGCTTCAGGACTGGAAGGCATGGTCATCAGAGCGGCTCCCCACATATTCCCCCTTTCTTAATATAAAAAAAAGCAACTAGGGAATTATATCTTTCAGTCACTGGATTCTTGGTTCAAGGTCATCATGATCTACTATTGAAACACAAAAAGAATTAGTAGAAAACATATCATTTCAACAACATAATCAACTTGGAAGATCTAGATGATTATTATTATTATTCTGCCAAACACTCATCAGAAGATTCTTAATCTTTTCCCAATTTTATTGGGAAGCATTATGTTTGGTTATGGTAACACAGACATTTTTATTTGGCATGTGTTTAAGCCTTTCCACAAACCATAGTGCAGAGGGCTCATTTGCATTATTCATTACAGGGACTTCTAGAGCATTTTAACTTAGAATTTAAGTCAAACTATTAAGAAAATCCATATGTTGTAATTTCTAGAACTTAGCCATCATGGCTGTATTGTAGAAGCAAGGAATAATACTGAAGGTAGTTATTCAAGGATCATGAGACCAGGAGCTTGCCTAGGTCTGGCTAATTGGCATGCACCTGTTTCAAAGCCTGAGTATTAACTTCAGCATGTTATTGCTCTGAAATATTAGATGGCAATAACTAGTGATACAATAAGATAAGTTGTATACTCACAGGATATTCATCATTCTTTCTCTTAATTCTCACATTTAAGGGGTCTATTGGGTCTGCCAATAATGTAAGTATACTTAGCAGAAGTTGACATCAAAACATCCCTTTGGATGCCGTCTCAGTGAGAGTTAAAGTTTTTAGGAGTTATGGCATCCTCGTAATCATTCTTGTCCATTCTAGGAGACCAGCCTAAAATATCCACTACTTCTAGACATCTTGTGTTGTACTGACAAGACATGCACAATCCATCCACTTAGAAAAGGGGCCAACTTATATTGTAGAATGATTAGGACAGTAATACATTGGTGGATATTTTATGTAAATAACTGCTCTGTATAGGAAAAATCTATTTTAATAATCTATCTGACACTTGTCCAGATAAGTAAATATAGTCTTAACCTCTAAGGGCCAGCATGATTGGCTGGTTTAGGTTTCTTATATGCTGTCTTTTTCTCAAAAGATACTCCCGGACAGCTTGTTTACCATAGGATCAACATAAAGGTATAACTGACAATTACAGTCAATACAGTTAATCTAGTTTCATTGGTGGACTTTCCAGTCCCCAGTATGATGTACATTAAAAATGGACCTGAGATATTAGTCCATAGAAGTCTCTTCATAATTTTTACTTAGATAAACTTGTGAAGCTACATGGTTGTAAAATCTGCAGCTGGAAATTTACCTTCCTGTGCCAGGTTTCTCAGTCATTATCACAATGACAGGTTTAAACTCTATCTTTTGAAATCTGATTTAATTTACTGAATCATGTTCAGTAGCAGTAAGACAAAAATCAAGTCATACATTTAATAAAGGCTGTTTCTATTTGCCATAGTCCCTTTCCAACACATTAATGTTGGACTTAACATAGCTAGCAGATGCCCTTTGTCAAAATTTATGACTAGCTAAGGATAATAAATCCTTTCTTATTATTTAAATACTTGTACTATTATCTATAACTTAAATTGATGATACTACTGTTGATGCCAGGCCTTAACTCAATTTTATTAAATAAAGAAAAGGGGGAAAACAGAAGCCACAGACACATACTAGATCTTAAAAATATTTCAAAAATTTTCTTCACTGTGTTACTGAGAGTCTTTATCATGTCAAAATATGGACAAAGTCTTAGCTGATATCAGTATATTAAAATCAAGGAAACAGCCTGAAATATCCTTGAATTAATCAGTTTAAATTTTTATAGTCAGTCCAGTATACATAAATCTCTTTTTCAGTTATTTTAATTTTCTATATCATCTGTCTAGATAATGATTTAAAGATTTCCCTATTTAGGAAAATACTTTTATCAATAAAATATAGAATATAAAGATCTTGTTTTACCCAAAGATGATTTCTTTCTTCTTCTTAGGACCTACAGTGTGTGTTTCCTTTGTTGAAGCATCATCTTCTCTTTCTAGAATTTTTCCTGGACTATATTTGGAATAATTCCTGGAAATCTTAGAATATAAACAAATTATTGTACCTTTTATAAGGAGAAATATCTGAATAAAAATATAGTTAAAGCCTTTAGATATTCCTGTAGATAGAATTATATTTGTTTATCATCTTATAAAGTTTGTACAATAATTTGAGAGTTAGAGATTACTTGATGGTTGTACTTGAAAGCAAATTTACAGTAAAATACATTTATCTTAAGGTATTTCTAATTACAAAAGGCAGAGCATCAGATAAATGTATATATAGATTATATATATGTTTTCTGTTAAAGGAAAACAATAAGATAAATATATATTAACTAAACAATTAGACATATGCTAATTATTTTATACATTAACAATTATAGGCTATCCAAATACCTAGAAAAATATGTATTAAGAATAAGGACAAAACTTATGATTGTATAAGCTTTATGTTACCACATGGTTCTTAAGATATTTGGATCCATTTTAATTTTCTTTGGATGAGTAGTGCACATTTTTATATTTGTGACATCATGTAATAAGATCCTTGTGTAGATATTTGCTCATTTCTTGTAATTTTATATTCAGGAATGAGAATAAGGATTTCTTGATTATCACATGAACATTGCCAGCTTTTGTTCCTGGGACAAGCAAATGCATCCTCATAGTCTTCAAAATTGAAAACAAAATACAAAGAAGCATATGTTTGATACCTCTCATCAATAGAACATTATTTAGTAATATTACCATAGAGAGGAAAAGGAAGGGTCTTAAACAAAGGTGTTGAGGGATAAAAAATCAAGTTATTTTTAGCTTTGAGAGCAAGTCAGGCTTAGGGCTGCAAAGTAGAAACCTGAGGAATTAGATTTTGTCTGAAAAAGATACTTTTCATTAGCATTTACAGGTGGGCATTCTTAAAAATGCAGGCTCTGTGTAGTTTCAGTAGCAGGTCTGTGGGAAACAGGAAGTACAGGTTAGTGGCTGGGAGGTGGGACCAGAAGTCCTGTCTGAGTGACATTAGAAGGACCAATGGGAAGCCTGTGAAAACATGGGAGGTGGGACCAGGAAGCCTGCGGGGCTGGCTAGGCTTTGGGCAGTAGCCAGGTGTTGAAAACCACATGGAGCCAGCTGCCCATTGTTGGGGCAAAGGCTTCTGGAGCCAGTTGCATTCCATCTGGTTTGTTTGCATTTCCCTTCTGAGGGAGTGGTTTGCCTTGTCTCTTCGACCTGTGCTTGCAGTGTATGTCCTTCTGTCTTTTGTACTTTCCCTTGTAGCATGTGGGCACTTTAAAGGTGAGTTTCATGGCAACAGCGGCTAAAGTCTTTTGTCCGCAGTGGCTGAGTTGTAGCCATTCTAATCCAGTAGGACAAGAATGCGGTACAAAGGTGCGATATAAATTGTTTGAGTACCTTTAAAAAACAACAGAAAAACAAATATACCTCTCTAGAAGTAGAATATCTCCTGTGTTAAGTCTCACCACAAAAAGTTCTTTGTTTTTCTCTCTTATACTCTCCAAGCACAGGTTTTTAGCATGTAACTCCTAATACCTAATATTTTAAAATATAAAGATTTACAAAAACAATCCAAAAAGGTACACAAAAGCGCTTTTCCCATGGGAGAGAACTACAGTCTCTAGAATTGCAAAAGTAAAATTTTTTATCTTTCTAAAGACGAAATATTCCCAGATGTTAAAAAAGTTTAACGTCACAGATGTTTCTTCTAATTCACTTACTTTCTGCAATTCAGCCCACAATACTCTGAAATCCTAAGCATGCTTAACTTCTGGAGAGAAATTCCAAATCCACTAAATTTCTAAAATTCACCCTGGAGTCTCTGTATGTGCCACCAATTGTTGAGTTCCATGACTAAACACTCAGGTCACTCCAGGTGAACTGGGTTGCAGGAAATAATTTACAGAGACAGAGACATACCTTTTTCTTTGGGTGCTGTGATGGCTCCTCTCACCTTAGGGGTCCATGGGAAGAGAGAGGAGCACATGTTGAACCCTTTTATTGGGAAGAAGCCATCAAATGAGGCAAGGGGTAGGGTTACAAAGGAATAGGAGAGTGGGACTCAACCCCACTGGGTGACACCTACTCCTGGAGCCATGCCTTGCTATCCAAACTGGGACAACGCCCAAGTCACCACGAAATGTAGTGACTGGTCAGAGCCTGGTGTTTCAGGACTGGAAGGTGTGGTCATTTAGAGCGGATCCCCACAAAAGGGACCACTCTTTATGATACTACAAAAATAGTAAAAATCTTGTATAACTAACATCAATCTTTGAAAATATAGACAGGAAAATTGAAAGTTGAAAGATGACATACTATGCAACATAGTCCTAGATAGCATTCAGTTGGATATTTGGGGGCTTAACCCTGTTAATCTTGTCATGCATTATAAAAAGTGGCTAATAATAATTCATTTATACTTAATATATTACGGAAAAGGAAGCACTTACTATTGCCATTTTAAGTTATTTTTTCTTATAATTGCTTTTCCTGCTTTTCTGAACTGCTTTAATTTGTGGTTCATTAATTTTTATAGTGACATGCTTTGGTTTCTCCCCTTGTTCCCCTTATATCTTCTGTGCTTATTTATTTATTTTTATTATATTTTGATTATACAAAACAGCACTTTAAGCTTACATGGTATTTTGAAGTGATAATAAATTAATGTCAATTCTGTATAAAAATCATTTTCTTTAAATATTCTCTTAGTGTTAGGTTATTGATGTCACAGCTGTTTGGAAATGGCATATGCATTAATAGAGTATAATAATTTTGTGCTTTTGTCTTTTAAATTCTGTAGCAAAATTGTTTTAAGTTACCATTATTACAGTTCTATAGAATTTTATATTTATTTATTTTTCACAAAAAGCTTTAAAATTTCAAATTATTTGTGTTGTTGTGTAGGTTTATTTTATTTCTAATGGGAAGGATTTCCTTTAGTATTTCTTGTAGGACCAGGTCTAGTGGTAAGGAACTTTTTGAGTATTTGCATATCTTAAAAGTCTTAATTTTCACCTTTGAAGCATGATATTTCTGGATATAGTATTCTTGGTTCCTAGCTCTGTTTTTTCACCCTTTTGACTGTATTCCCCTATTCTTTTCTGGAAGACTTCTGACAAACCTCTTTTATCTTGGTCCTTTCAAAATTTTCTTTGTGACTTTGACACTTTGAGTATAATGTGCTTTATATTCAATCTTTTGCTTTTTTCTAGAGATGATTGAAATTCTTTTTTTTTTTTTTTAATATTTATTTATTTATTTTAGTTTTTTTCGGCAGACACAACATCTTTGTTTGTATGTGGTGCTGAGGATCGAACCTGGGCCGCACGCATGCCAGGCGGGCGTGCTACCGCTTGAGCCACATCCCCAGCCCCGATTGAAATTCTTAAAGTTGGATATCTGTTATATTTTTTTTGTATTTCTAGTTTCTCAAACTCTTTAAAAATATTTTTAGTTGTAGATGGACATAATGCCTTTATTTTATTTATTTTTATGTGGTGTTGAGGATCAAACTCAGTCCCTCACACGTGGTAGGCAAGTGCTCTACCACTGAGCTGTAACTCCAGCCCTCAAATATTATTTCTTAAGGAATTCTATTACACAGTTTCTACTTGCTTATGTTGGAATTTTTTCGTCTGAATTTTGTTTATTTTTCCTATTGTTCTGGTTTAGTTGTTGAACATTTTCAAATGGCTACTTAGTGTTCTGTAGGTTATCTATAATAGTTTCCTAATGGTCAATTCCCACTGTTTTATTTTGTTACTTTGATGGAGTCATTTTTCACTTTTTCTTCGTGTTCTCTGTTATTTTTCACTGGACATTTTTCACTTGGAAACCAGCCAACAGTAGATTATTAACATCATTTGGGAAAGGAGTATTAAAGTTATTAAATACACAAAAAATAGGCCAGATGAAATGACACATTCCTGTAATCCTCACTAGTTGAGGCTGAGACTAGAGGAATGCACATTTGAGATGAGTCTCAGCAGCTAATGAGACCTGGTCTCAAAACACACACACACACACACACACACACACACACACATATTTAAAAGGTGGGGGACTGCAAATATAGCTCAGTGGTAAAGAAACTTTGGGTTCGATCACAAGTATCCCCCTTCCTCATCTCTCCCCCAAGAAAAGGAGAAAAGAAATAAGGCAGAAGGTCAGTTTCTGCACTAGTAGACTCACATAGAAACTGACAAAGTAGATCTCAAATGTCACATAAAATGGTGGTTACCAGGGCATGGGACTTAGGGGGTTGTAATGTTAGTCATAGATGCAAGATTTCATCTTAAATGGGTGTAAATAAGTCAAGAGTTCTACTCTACAAAGGGTGAATACTATTTTATTTTATTTTTGCTACTGAAAATTGTATCAGTGATAGCCACTGAGCTACATCCCCAACTCATTCATTTATTCATTTATTTATTTAGAGACAGGGTCTCACTAGTTGCATAGGCTGATCTTGAACTTGCTATCCTCCTGCCTCAGCCACTTGAGCCACTGGGATTACAGCTGTCACTGGGATTATAGCTGTGCACCACCATGCCCGGGTAGTGTAATGTGTGCCTAGGAAGTGCTACTAGAATGGACGTAAAGTTTTCTGATAACAAAAATGCTAATTATACAAAATAATGCATGTGTTAGATTTAGTCATTTTACCATGTATGTGTATATATACTTTAAAACATGATGTACATGGTAAGTATATAAAGGTTGACTTGTCAGTGAAATTAATAAATAGAAAAAATTGTGAAACAAATATAAAGCAAGTCATTTTGGTTGATCCCTATGGGTTAGCTTTGGCTAGGTGATATTGATATCTGCTCTATGAGATTGTTGTTGCCTCTCAATTTTCTTTTCAGAATATTTCTCCAGAAGTATATATGTATGTTTCCCATCATAAAAGTTTGCTTATATTTCTTCTTAAAAGTCCGTGGGTTCTTCTGCTCTATTGAGATTTTGGGGTACTGTCATCCAAAAATCTACCTTTTAGCTCCAAGTCTCTGGATAGACAGAAACTAGTGTTTAGAAAGTCCCCAATAAAGTCAGAAATATTTGCAAGCTTTTCTGTTCCTTTTTCTTACTGAGAGAGAAAGTATTGCTATTTTGTCCCTAGTTGCACAGTTGAGTCACAATGTTGTAGGTGATATATTTTTTTCCCTAATTGCACAGTTGAGTTGGAATGCTGTGGGTGATAAAAGTAACCCTTTCCTCCATCTACTGCATGTCTCTGTAGCAATGTGCTCATCTGTGGCGCTGTGAAGTCTCAGGCAGTTTTGAAGATTCTTACAGATCAGTTCTTTCAGAATATGGTTTTGAAGTTCACATCTCTCTGGAATAATGAAAGTCATGGGTTTACTATATGAAGGTGGGACATCCCTTATTGATGTCCCACCTTCGTATAATTTCATATATTTGCAAATTATATTCACCAGTCTAGAAAGTGAAATAATTGATTATTTTTGTTTCTTTCAGCTGTATATTCTCATCAAGTCCAAGACTTTTTGCCAGAGCAGGGATCAAAACATTTATCTCAAAAAGTGATCAAGGGAAGACATGGAAGTCAAGGTATTGAAAATTTACATCTAAGGAAAGACTGGGAAAGTGTCAGAGAGAGTGAAGTTCCGAAATCTTGTCATAATGAGCATAACAAATGTTTGATGACTATCCATGATGAAAATGTCAATGTCAGCAGACATCAAGAACATATAGCATCTCAGAAAACAGCTCAATTTATTCCAGTCACTTTTGAGGAGCTCTCTGTGTTTCTAAATACATATCCACAGCAGTTTTTGAACCATATCTTCCCTCTGAAAGGAAATTTGGAAAGTCTGAAATGGAGTCTGTCCCAAGCTTCAGTTAACAACATGAACAATTTCAATTGCAGCATTGGTTTAAACTTTTACTCAAACATTTGTATAGATAAGAGAGTTAAAAATAAAGAACAAATTTCTGAATGTGATCATGTTGAGTGTTACTTCACAAAAAGTCTGCTATTTTGCAATCAACAACAAATTGTTCCTCCTTGTGCCAAAATATACAGTTTTAATCAAAGTAGGGAGGTTCATGCTTCCCCATTATTGCATAATCAAAATTCAGATAAAGATATTTGGAAAGTTTTATATGTTTATAATAAAACCTCCAAGAACTTTAGCCAAGTCTCTACCCTATGTAATTACCAGTGTATTTATATTGGTGAAAAAAATTGTGAATGCAGTGAAACTCATGAAAATATTAGCCTTGGTTCAAATCATGGAAAACATCAGTGTGTTCATTTTACAAAGAACCTTTGCAAAGTTAATAAACGTGGGAAAGTCTGTCATCAGAGCTCAAAAGTTAATATCCATTCAAATATCCATATTGAAGACAAACCTTACACATGTAAAGAATGTGAAAGGACTTCAAAGAAAATTTCAAGCCTTACTCAACACAGAAGAATTCATACTGGAGAGGAGCCCTACACATTTAAGGAATGTGTCAAAGCTTTCAATCAAAGCTCAAATCATATTAATCACCAGAGAATTCAAACTGGAGTGAAGCCATACGAATGTAAAGACTGTAGCAAAGCATTTAATATAAGCTCACACCTTATTAAACACCAGAGAATACATACTGGAGAGAAGCCCTACAAATGTAAAGACTGTGGCAGAGCTTTTAATCAAACCTCAACCCTTACTCAACACCGGATGATTCATACTGGAGAGAAACCTTTCAAGTGCAAAGAATGTGGCAAAGCTTTTAATCGAAACTCAAACCTTACTCAGCACCGGAGGATCCATACTGGAGAGAGACCGTACAAATGTAAAAAATGTGGCAAAGCTTTTAAGGAGTGTTCACACCTTATTAAACACTATAGAATTCATACTGGAGAGAAGCCCTACAAATGTAAAGAATGCGGCAAACCCTTTAAAGACCGTTCAGCCCTTACTCAACACCAGAGGATTCATACTGGAGAGAAACCCTACATATGCAAAGAATGTGGTAAAGCTTTTAATCGAAACTCAAACCTTACTCAACATCAGAGGATCCATACTGGAGAGAGACCTTATAAATGTAAGAAATGTGGCAAAGCTTTTAAGGATTGTTCACACCTTATTCAACACCACAGGATTCATACTGGGGAGAAGCCCTACAAGTGTAAAGAATGTGGTAAAGCTTTTAAACAAATTGCAACGCTTACTCAACACCATAAAATTCATAGTGGAGAGAGACCGTACAAATGTAATGAATGTGGCAAAGCCTTTAGGGATTCTCTAACACTTACTCAACACCACTGGATTCATACTGGACAGAAACCCTACAAATGCAAAGAATGTGGCAAGACTTTCATTAGAACTTCACACCTTAATAAGCACCAGAAAATTCATACTGGAGAGAAGCCCTATGAATGTCAGGAGTGTGGCAAAGCTTTTAAACGAAGCTCACACCTTACTCAACACCAGAGAGTTCATACTGGAGAGAAGCCCTATAAATGTAAAGACTGTGGCAAAGCTTTCACTCAAAACTCAAACCTTATTGGTCACCGTAGAATTCATACAGGAGAGAAGCCCTACAAATGTAAAGACTGTGACAAAGCATTTAATATAAACTCACACCTTATTAGTCACCGTAGAATTCATACAGGAGAGAAGCCCTACAAATGTAAAGAATGTGGCAAAGCTTTTAACCAAACCTCAACCCTTACTCAGCATCAGAGGATCCATACAGGAGAGAAGCCCTACAAATGTAAAGAATGTGGCAAAGCCTTTAAGTCTTGTCCAACCCTAACTCGCCACCACAGGACTCATAGCGGAGAGAGGCACTCCAAATGAAAATGTTGTTTGAAAACGTTTAATCAAAACTAAATCCTTACTCAACATCAGGGATTCATCCTGGAGGGGATCATGCAAACGTAGGGAATGTGGCTAGTAGTTGTTCACATCTTACTCAACATCAGAGAATTCATAGTACGGAAACTTTAAAAAGATAATGTGTCAGGGGGCTAGGGTTGTAGCTCAGTGGTGGATCGCTTGCCTATTGTGTGAGGCACTGGGTTCGATTCTCAGCATCATATATAAGTGAATACAATAAAGGTTCATTTACAATGAACAAAAAGATAATTTTGTCAATGACTATCAAACTTCATACTTTGTTCTACATCAGAAAATTTATATTGTATCAAAACCTCGTGAACTAAGTGTCTGTGGAAAGACCTTTGTCCAAAATATATGCCTTATATAACAGCAAAATGTTTATAATGGAGATCAAATCTTGACAAATGAGAAAATTATAGCAAAGTCTTTATATCTAGATGTAAATGAGAATTATTAATGGAGAGAAATTCTGTAAAAGGAGAAGGTAGCATTGCCTTTAACTGTTGATTAAAATTTACTGGACTTCATTAGTTGATGCGAAACAAACAAATCCTCAGATATCAGAATAGTGTGGCAGCACATCTCTAAAAGACATCAACTTATAAATTAAAGATTACATAAATATACTCAGTCCTGAAAGTTGAAGAAATTATAATTCTCACTTAGAAAATTATTTCAGAAGACTCATTAATGAAAAATTCAATCTGTATTTTTCTAAAGACTTCACGATGGAATTTGAAATAGTTAACATTCATGCATAATATGAGTAAAGTATTTCAAATAAAATAAAGTGAATGCTTTTCAATGTGTTAACACTGTCATATAGTGAGTCACATGTTATTCTGCCAGGCATAAAAGAATTTTGCTTTCCTAAAGGTTGTAGGTAACAGATAATAGAAGATGTTATTGGATATATATGGTTATTACACCATTTAGAAAGTGTAATTGAGCTTCAAATTATGTGGCAAATATTATCACAAATTGTATTTTAAATATTTCTCCTTTTTGTATTTAGTTGTAAATTAAGACTGTTATGGGAGAGAAATAGAAATGCCAATAAATCCAGACTTCTGTATCTTAAATTTTATCCTATAGTATTTTTTCCATGTGTCACTTCGGTGTATCAACAAAACATCTACAAAACATTAGTTTGATTCATATTGACTTAATTATACAAATGTTATAATCTTATGATAAATCTCATGGCACTAACTGTGTGTGTGCATGTGTTTTCTTATGCCAGATTTTAGAAGGAAAGGGAATCATTCAACTGAAAGAATTTCAAGATTGGTGATGATTTAGTAGTAAACTAGAAACCTCAGATACCTAAAGAAAAAAAAAAGACAAAACCTATTTTAGGTATAATGATCTCATTTCTCCAAATTTTCATTGTTCTCCTTTCTTTTTTCTCATGTAATACCTAATATAACTGACTTGAATGTTATAAAAACACTACTTAATCACCTGTTCAGGGATTTTATGAATGATGGTTAGAACATTTGGTGTTATTCAGAAACTAGTTTTAAGATACAGTTCCACAATGGTCATGTTAATACATATTTTGTTTTCTTAGTATATTCCATTATTTCCTTCTCATTGGGAGAACACTAAGTCATTGTAATTTATGTTTTTTCAATTTGTTATGTTACATCATAAAATTTAGTGAATTCACAGAGTTGATTTTTTTTAGGTTAAAATTAAGCAGGATGTGTAACTTTCAGTTTTCCACAGTGGCTGCACAAATTTACAACTACCAACAGTGTGCAAATTCTTTTCCTCCACATCTTCATGAGCATTAATTAGTTTTTTCCCCTCTTGGCAAATGGCCTCTAACTGCAGTGAGATGATATCTCACTGTAGCTTTGATTCACATGTCCCTGAAGGCTTGTTATATTCAACATTTTATCAGCTATTTGTATTTTCTATGAAAAATTGGTCAGATAATTTGCCCACTTTTAGATTGGATTACATTTTTAAAAATATTTATTAATTTTTAAGTTGTAGATGGACTAAATACATTTATTTTATTTATTCATATTTATGTGGTTCTGAGGATTGAACCCAGGGCCTCGCATGTGCAAGGTGAGTGCTCTACCACTGACCCACAACTCCCCCCCCCCCCCCCGGATTACATGTCATTGCTCCAGTTTTAGATTTTTTTTTTTTTTACATTACTGCATATTACTCATGCATTGCATGAATGGCTGTCAAAGATTTCCTCCCATTTGTTAGTCCTCTCTCCACTTTTTTAGTTGTTTGCTTTGTTGTGCCTAGCTCTTTTGGTTTGTAATCCCATTTGTTTATTTTTGTGTTTGTCTTTTGTGCTTTTATGGTTGTATAAAAACCTTATCATGCTGTAAGTCTTAAGTGTTACCCTATATTTTATCCTTCTAGTTTCTGTCTTTGAGGTAACATATTGGTGGTGCATGCTTGTAATCCCAGTGACTGGAGGCTGAGGCTAGAGGAGTGTGAACTTCAAGCTAGTCTCAGCAACTTAGGCCCTAAGCAACTCAGCAAGACCAGTTTATTAAAAAGGGTAGGGATGTGGCTCAGTGGTCAAGTGCCCAGGGTTCAATCCCCCCTAGAAAGGTCTTTATTCATTTTGAGATGATTTTATAGAGTGAGAGATGAATATCCAGTTTGAGCAATACTGAAGATATTTATATTAAGAATTGGAATTGTAAGTACAGTCTTTCAATTTTGTACTTTTTTGAGTATTTTGTGTACACAATTCCCTTTACATCAGTATTAATCAGTGGGTCACATTTAAAATTCTGCAAAAATGGCGGGTGGAAATTTTGATGGGTTTTCCTCAATATGTGATCTAATTGATATTTGCCATTTTAACCTTAAGTCTTCTATAAATATGGGATGCCTTTCTATTAACTTAGTTCTTTTACCAATTTTTCAGTGGGATTTTTAATGTCCAGAGACTTGCAAGTTTTTCATTTTTTAATAAAGTTATTACTATTTAATTATTTGATGCTATCATAATTTACTGAAATTGAATTTATTTTTTGTGTATTCATCTTGGATCCTGCACTTTTGTATGCTGTTAGTTCTTTTGTAGATTCCTGATGGTTTTCTATTCACAAAGTCATTTAATCTGCTAACATAGTTTAATTTCATTTCTTACCTAGATGTTATTTATTTTTCTTTGATTACTGATTCAATCTCTTACTATGGGTATATTTAGATTTTCAATTCTTTTTTTTTAATATTATTTTTTGGTTGCAGATGTACACAATACCTTTATTTATTTATCTTTATGTGGTGCTGAGGATCAAACCCAGGGCCTCATAGATGCTAGGCGAGTGCTGTACCACTGAGCCACAAACCCAGCCCCCTATTCTTTTTTTGAGTCACTTTTTAAAAGAATATATTTTAGTTGTCAATGGATCTTTATTTATTCATGTGCAGTGCTTAGGATTGAGCCCAGGGCCTCATGCGTGCCAGGCAAGCCCTCTACCACTGAGCCACAATTCCAACCCTTTGAGTCAGTTTTATTTAAAAAAATTTGTCCATGTCATCTAGGTTATCTATTGACATATGGTTGTTCATGGTATTCTTTTAAAATTATCTTTTCCTATGAATTCAGTATTGATGTCTGTCCCCAGTTTGATTTTGATAATTTGAGTGTTTTCTCTTATGCTTTCAATTTTATCCATCTTTACAAGGAGCCATTTTTTTTTCATTCTACTTTCTTTTTTTAATATTTATTTTTAGTTGAACATGATACCTTTATTTCACTTATTTATTTTTATGTGGTGCTGAGGATCAAACTCAGGGTCTCGCACATGCAAGGCGAGTGCTCTACCACTGAGCCACAACCTCTGCCCCTCTATTTTCTATTCTAGTTTTTCTTTTTTATTTCTGCTCAGGTCTTCATTATATTCACCTTCTGCTAGCTTTGGATTTAGCTTAATTTGCCTTTTCTTCTTAAAGTGTAAAATATAGGTTATTCATTTATATTTTATAACAGGGTTATAGCTATAAATTCCCTCTGATAATTGTTTTTTTCTCACCTCATATGTTTTGGCAATGTTGTATTATCTTTTTCATTCAGCTTAAAGTATTTTCTAATTTTACTTTTTATTTCTTTATGCTATTTTCTACATATTTGTTAATTTTTTAGTTTTCCTTTTATTATTTTTTGCTAGCTTCATTTATTATGATCACAAAAGACACGTAGTCTGATCTCAGTCTTTTTATGTTTATTGTCATTTAAAGCGTTCTGAGGCCCAATATGGTCTCTCCTGGACAGTGTTCCAGGAGCACTTACAAGTTCTTGTGCACTCTGCCTTATTGGGCAGTCCTCTATACAGTCCCTTAGTTCTATTTGGTTTATATTCTTCTGTCCTTCTTTTAAAAATCGATCTTTTTTTCCCTGTACATTCTATGCCTTGTTGAAAGTGGGGTATTATGGTATTCAACCATTTTGGTAACTCTTTTTTCCTTTAATTCTGATAATTTTCATTCATATATTTTGGGACTCTGTGGTTAGATGTATAAATATTTACAATTTTTGCTAACGCATAATGGCCTTTCCCTTTCTTTTCTTCAACAGCTCCCCCCCCCCGCCCCCGAGTCTATATTTTCTGGTATTCACAAAGCCATTCCAGCTGCCTTATGGTGGTTGTTTTTGTGTAGTGCTTTCATTCTCAACCAATTTTTGTTTTTAAATCTAAAGTGAATCTCTTGTGCACAGCTGGATTTTTTTTTTTTTTTTATGTAGTGCTAGATTAAATCCAGGGGTGCTCTACCACCGAGTGACATCCCCAACCCTTGTTTAGTTACTTTCAAGACAGGGTACTGCTCAGTTGATGAGGCTGGTCTCAAGCTTGCACTCCTTCCTCAGCCTCCTGAGTTGCTGGGGTTACAAGTGTGTTCTACCACATCCTTTTCAATCCATTTTTGCAATATTTGCATTTAAAATAACACTGATT